GGGGGGGGTACAGTGGCAGAGAAGCGAGAGACCAACAGCTGCTGGAGCTCACGCTGCTCGATTCACGTGGGACATGTTTCACCTTCACAAAGCTGGAGCGTTCTCGTGATCTGGACATTAGCCACTGTCCCTTATTTTTATTTTTGGGTTAAGAGAGGGCCCCCGTCTGGGCGAACAGCAGGAAACATGCCTCGTATCAGGACGATTTGGTCATCTGCGTTTGCACAGGAAGTGCTGGCTTCCCCGAGCCGGAGGCCCTGGGACACCGCAGCGGAGGGCGCTGAGAGGGCTGAGGCTGCCCTCTAGGGGCAGGAAACTGCGCTGCACGAGTGGAGAGAAGTGCTCAGCGAGGGAGCAGGTCGCAGAGCACTGCCCCTGCTGGTTAACTTCCACATGCACTTGATGAAAACCTGCGCAAGGATGTCGAAAGCCTCTTACTTGAATGCCTCTGTATTTATAATGTATCTGTCTGTACAAGAACATCGCTGTGTAAATGTATTTTCAATCCATGCCCACTGTTATGTTTCACCATCAGCTTTTAAACATACAGACTGTCAGTCTGTGAGAACAGTGGATAACAGTGCCAGCCGGCAGCAGGAACACCACTGACGTGCGGCATGCTTGTCCCTGACCAGGTCCGCCAGCCCAGGAGAGGTCCAGCGGGCTCCCTGCTCGCCGCCGGCTCGGCAGATCGCCGCGCGCCCCAGTGTCCTGACCAGTCCAGAAGCCCTGCGGCGGAAACCGTCTCCTCCTGCTCCCGGACCGAAGCTCGAGCTCCGCAGGAGGGCCCAGGGCAGCACAGGCCCGTTCTGAGCAACCTCTCATTCCAGATGCCCCGCTCCCCTCCCCACAGTCCTGCCATAGGCTGGGCCAGGTTTCCGAGGAGCGAAGCCGACCTCGTTAAGCATCGCGCGGATGAAAGCGCAGCCGACCCGAGCCCGACACCTGCCCGGCCCTCCGCCGTCCGACACATGGCGGGGCCTCCAGGAGACATCCTGACGCGCCTTTCGCTCGATTTTCAATCACGATTCCCCTCTTTCTGAATTGTTGGCCAGCAGGATACTGCACGATGATCCGGGTGGGGATTTGTGAAATTAAAGTTACGCAAAGGATGTTCACAGCGTTTGTTGTGCTTAAATAAATGTTCTGAAACGGAACACAGCAGGCACTGGCACCGATACCAGAAGGGAGAATAATTAAAAGGCCAATCACAGACGCATTAAATCTCTTCTACACGCTTCTCTATTTAAAAGATTTCTGAGCATTACGGTTTGCTCTAATGGAAAGGAAAACGTTTAAAAGAGGTGCATTTATACCATTTTATATTGACTTGCTTAGAAACAAAAGCTAGTAAACAAAATTAGAAAGTTTAAGAGGGCAAAAAACGCATTTATTTTACAGAAACACACACAGTGGAGGGTGTATATCTGAAAATGTATCTTTGAGCGCTGTGAACTACAAGATAACTAAAACAGCTTCCTGAGAGAAGGAAAAGTGAAACTCTTTGGATTTAACAGAAATGAGCAGAGACTTAAAAACCTCATCTGATTCAACCGAGACCGCTGGTTTGAGGTCTGACACTACCGATGGCCAGCAGGCCCCACAGCACAGTTGCACGAAAGGCAGAGTTTTTGTAAACAGCAGGCAGGGTGACAACCCCGCCGAACAAGCAGGAACAATGCTCTCGGCGAGTCCAGCCAGATCCCAATCTACAAGAATGTGGAAGAGGAAATGGTCCAAACAATGCTGGATTTCTACCCCACTGCTATCAAGAGGAGCACCGCGCACACAGGCGTGAGAAAGCAGGAAGAAAAAAGGTGGCTTCTACTCACCACAGACAGCTTCAGCACTAAGCGACGTCTAATTATGTAAGTGACAGCCGACTTCAGCAGCCTGGGCTGTCAAACCATCATTTCCTCCTAATTTTCTCACAGACGAGTGATAACTTCACTTAAAAAACGCATCTCGTAAGCACCTCCCATAGGAGTCTGCAGTTTCTGGTGAGCAGACGTGTAGGCCTGGACAACGCAGGCCCACACTGAACGTTCTGGTTTGTGCCCCAAGCTCTGTCCACGACACGGCGCTGCTCCAGGCTCAAGAGGTCCGGCTCCTCCAGCCCCTCGCTGAAGGACGTTCCTGAATCCAGCTTCAAGAATTCTCTTCCGAGAGATGCAATCTGGTCGGTCAAAACAAAAATCGCCTGGCATCTGAACAGCTGCAAACTAACTATTCCTAGACTCTTGATAATTGATATAAATCTGGATGCAGTGGCCTCAGTACAGATCCCTGAGGCCTAATTACATCACCACAAATCCTGCCTTCACCACTGATCTGTACCCTTTTATTACATTAACAAATTCTCCACCCAAATACACACATCTAACTCCGCTTTATCAAAGGCTTACTGTAGATGTGCTCCGTCTGCATCCAGTGCAGTCCACTGTCACGTCACTCGCCTTGTGTGCGCTGGACAACATTCTACACATGAAAGTCAAGTCTTGCAAATGAGCTTCCTGCTCAGAAGCCTCAGGGCTGACGCATCAAGGGCAATCTGGTGCTTTGAGCCTCACAAATATCAGGTAGTAGCATTACTGCACAGACAAACAGGGGAACGGACAGCAAGTATGACTTACAGAGGCTGCAGTATTTGCCTATTCAGTGGTGAACGCCTAACTCACTAAGACGTTTAGCTGTGCCATGAGATAGTTGTGAAATATGTTTGTGCAAGTATTTCTGAAAGCAGCTCAGAACCTGGCAGCGTGTTTGGTAAGAGGCGTGCTGATAGTTGCACTGTGATTGATGATCTTTGCCCCTGTGATGTCCCTTCAGCTCCCAAGGCTCAGCACAGCAAAGTTAACAATGATCTTCTGTGCTCAGAAACAAAGGGCTCAGAGCCACAGCCTCCCTATTCATCTCAACTTTTCAACTTTCTGCAAGGTTTCCTTCATCACTAGCTACAGCCAAGTAGGAACAGACAAAACATCCACTTCAAAAACTTCATTTCACTTATTTTCAAAAATATTCCAAAAACATGCCCTTAGCACTCCATTAAATAAGTTATTTTTGCACAAAAATGGGGCCTCACTGTCTCATGTGACATCTTTAAATTTAAATCAAAAGAAGTTATGTTAATATTGTATAAACACTATTAAGGCCTCATTAAGAACAGTGTGCCCAATTTTGGTCACCACAAATAATATTGCTGTTCTGGAATCCATTCATCCAACAATCTGAGAATTAAAGGAATGTCTTGCACTGACAGAGTGTTCAGGACTAACACGGCTCAGCTCCTACAGACAGAAGTGTTCAGAACCCCCAGAGGCACCGACAAAGCCAACCCAGAGGACTTCAGAATAAAAACTGAGCGCACAGCTCATTAAGGCACTTGAACTGAAAGGTCATGTAGACAAAATAAGTGGCAAAGTTAGTTTTTACTTTACTAGTTATGGAGAAAGTTAATCCTTTTCATGACAAAGAAAGAAAAATAAATACTTGTCATTTTCACAGCTTTGCATTTTGAATTAATTTTCTAATTTTAACCCATCCTGTTAATATACAGCAAGCAAGACAGGAGAAGGGGTTCTTCCCCACCCCTGTGTTATGTCCATTTTTGTAACAGTGCAGAAGTGACCTGCGCAATCTACAGCACGAACAAATTAGAACGAGCAGAGAACCCTGATTGACCCTGCAATGAAACTGACCTAAAGAAAACCCTAATCATTTAACACACGATAATTATACAGTATCCTCTTCTAAAAAGCAAGATACATGGCCATTTGATGATTGATGCATTGAAGAGAAAGCTGGACCACTGACTGATATGAAATAAGACCAAAGCCCAGCGCTGCGATCTCTGCGGATAGCAACAAAAGAAATGAGGGGAAATAAAGCAGCCTGTTTCTGCAACACCCTGAAACAGACCAGGCAAGCCCAAGTTGCAGGAATTTCCCCCAAAACCGGGCAGAGGATTTCCCGGAAAATCAAAGAGCAGAGCTCGGGAAACTCTTTCAGCTCGGCTGAAGGGGGATTTTAATGCCAGCGGGTTCATGTTCAACGCCCTGTGGCCATATCAATAGGTCTGCCAATTCTTCAAAAGGATTGAAGAAGTCAGTTGCTCTTGGAAGCCAGAAAAAAAAATCTTATCAAATGCAAATTGGCTGCAATGGGCTTTAACCCACTACTTTCCCAGACACTCTTACTGGTGTGAAAGAAACGGGAACCTGCATCTTCAAACCACTCTGTCCAATTCAGGGACACAGCAGAGCCTGGCCTATCCCTGCAATCAGCAGGCGCAAGCAGGGTCCACCCTGGATGCAACGCCAGTCACACACTACAAATAGGAACAGAATAAGAAATTAAAGATTTACAGAACTTTGAAGAAATTCTAAAATTAATTAAATCCATTAACGCACAACTAAATGACTTCTGCGAGAGATGCGGAGAACTTCAGATCGGAATATAAAACACCACATTACAGAAAATAAACTATTTAACACCGCCCACCTCCGACGCAATATCTATAAAGCTCCTTAAATGAAGAAACACAGCACTGCTAGGTTCCATGCATAATGTCATTCATTTTAATCCACACAAATTCCTGTAAGACTCAGTGATCCTCAAACAACTTCATTTACCAGAGTTCCACTTGCTAAGCTTAATTTTCAGCTCTATAATGTCTAATAAAAAGTCCTTGCAGACTGTGCACACCCACATTTCTCTTTCATCATCAAGGGCGGCTACAGTCAGCATTACTCCCCCACCACTCCGCCGGCTGAGAACAATAATCATGTCCAAGCAAAAACTACGTTCCTTCAAAATAAGCAACTTCTGCCTGGCTGAGTTCAGTTCTCAGGTCCGCGTGACTCTCTGGAGCACTTGCGGACACTGTCTGAAAACCGAATGACTCTGTGATGCCCCCTGGACGTCGAGCGTGAAGGCAGACAGCTCAGGTCGTGCTGATCAGCGAGTGCAGCCCAATGCAATCAGTCTCCACCTCCCAAGTCCATCCCAAACCTGAAATCATCCCCCAGGGCGTGACCTCCTCTGAGCTCCACTGATGCCCAGTGAGCCAAAGTCTGCTGAGCATAGACTACTGCTAAAAAGGGTGACAAAACGCAGTCAAGCAATTATAGACCAACAGCTCCATGGCAGGGAAGTTAACAAAAACAATAATTAGAATTACAGCAGAGCGTCATCTGTATGGCAACAGGGTTCGAGGTGGAATTAGAAAAGTCAGATTTTGTTTAAAGAACATTAAGAGTTCAAAGAACTTTCTAACAAGGAGCAACAGTGACAGAAAAAGAATTATTAAAGCATTTGGATGGCTCTTGATAAAGTACATCATTAAAATATTAGTTCTTAAACTGCGGGCATTAGGCATAAATGAGCTCATGCTTTAAAATGAGAAATCAAATCATAAATAGGTTTAAAAAAAAGATGCAGATCTGTTTACAGATAAGCTGTAAATGTTCAAACTGGGAAGTACCAAAGGGGTCTATATTAAGAACACAGATCTTTGTAATTTCTATCAGTGATCTAGATTCTGGTGTAGTTAGTAAACTAGTCAAGATTCAGATGACCACAACAGGAGTATTAGCAAACACTACAAAAGATGCAAATGAAATCCAAAAAGATAATATTCACAACTGGACCGGCACCTGGCAGATAATGATTTATACAGTAGAGATAAATTCAAGTAGCAAAAACAAACTATATATATTTATATTAAGATGGAAAACACCAAGCCTGAAATAGCCATGTATGAGAACAAAGCTCAGGTGATAATGCTGACACATCATTTCATCTTCCCGACCAGGGGTGGGCAGTCCTGATCCCAGAGGGTCACTGCGACTGCTGAAGGTCTCTTCAAGAAGTAACACCTGAAGAACTCAAAGAAGCTGGTCAATCAGTCCCATTAAGCCAGTAATGAGCTGATTTAGCTCATTAAGAGGTAAGCTGGAAAGAAAACCTGGAAACACACCAGCCCTTAAAGACCAGGACTGCCCACTGTTCCCAACACCTGGGAAGGCAGTAAAAAATGCAAAGCATTAAAACACAATGTAAAACATCACAACTTAAACCAAGGCCTGCTATGCTAACATTGTACAGATGCACAGGCAAGCCATCTGCATCTTGACTAGAATATTGTGTAAATGTTGGTCACAAGGTTAATACAAAAGATGCTGCTGTGCTGTAGACATGCTAGAAAAAAATTAACCTTTTTATTTTTGACCAGAGAAGACAAGTGTCCAAGTATTCAGAATCCTCAAGAACATTAACACAGCAAACTCACTGGCCAGGATCGGCACTGACACATGAACCTGGAGGACACACGTGTAAACTACAAGAAAGTGCGTTGAAAACTGACAACACGAGGCACTTTACACTAAGGGTGGCGGGAGTCTGGAGCAAGGGCTGGGAACATGGAGCGGAGGAGGAAGGTAAGTTTGGCTAAATGTCACAGACTCATCCAGAAGTAAACAACGTCACTTCTGCCCAGTGTACAGTACAAGGCTTCAGCTCTGGGTAAACACCTTTGTTGATATGGGCTCGTGTGCAGTTACTGGTGTTAGCAGTATTTCTGCTAACACACCATAGATTCTCTGAACAAAAATTCTGATTAGCAACCTGCGTCTTTTATACTCAAAGTTTTAATATTCCCTTTATACTAAATTACACCCAACTGAATGACTGATTAAATTATAACTGCTTTAGCTGAACTTATAAAATTCAGAATTTGGCAAATTAAAAGCAGGCCTGTATCTCATGATTATGTGATTAACACAGATGCCTCTTTTTAAATTGAAGCTCCTGTGTTCCTAGGGAGCTTTGGTAAGTAATGTGCATCTGTGCAAAAGTCAGTAAGCTGAGGGGAAAGAGCACAAATGACAGATTCCGAGAACAAAACAAAAACACCATTAGCAGCTGATTCCAAACAAAACAGCCTTAATGAAAACATAAGTGTTTTGCGATGATCCATTCAAGCAACCGAATATAATTTTGACAGATCCAGCAAAAAGGAGAACAAAAGCGTTGCGTTGGCGAACAGCTATTTTTCTCAACGAAAACTTAAACCTTGGGCATCTAAAAAGAAAAGAGCCACACAGCAAGTTACTGTATAAAGCCTACAGACCTACAGAGCAGCAAACACTTTCTACTATGTGTCCCATCTACAATATTTTATATAACAAGGCTCTTATAGCGCACAGCCCACGTGTCCATTGCTTGAATGCTCACTCAGGAATTACGCTTTTAACCTTGAAGCTGGTTTAAAAGATTACAGATCCAGATTCACTGACATATGCATCATCAGACCCCAAAACATTCATCAAGCCACATGCATCGTAACCAGAAAGGTGAAACAGGCTTACAAGCATCTGCAAAATGTGTCCCCCGCGCCAGCCAACTCTAAGGCTAACTTAGGCCCCACCTGACAAGAGAAACTCGTTTTGCACTTACAGTACAACGTCTTCCAAACCAGCTCGTGAGGACTACACACGAACATCTCCTGATGACAAAACACGAACAACATGCAAAGGCTAGCTTTCCCTTTATTCCAGCAGCCTCGCGCCGCCACAAGAAGTCACTTGTTTCCTCTTCCAGCTGAACAATGGGAAAACCAGTAAGTCAAGGGAAACACACTCCTCCCTTGCAAAACCTGCAATTCTTTTTTAACACAATCGGAACACAGCTTCCTAATCATGGCATAACACCAAACCAGCATCGAGCGAGAGGCGAATATGACTATAAAAGGCAACAGTGTCCCGGGAGCTTATAAATGTCTCAAGCAGTGCTAGAACATGTCACAACCCTCAGCCCTTCTCTGCGTCCTCTCTCCAGAGTCAAACACACACACAAGTGAGCTGGTTTCAACCAGCATTACTGTGGTCTGCATGGGAGTCTTTTGAAAGCCACAAGGCAAAGAAAGAGAATCTATGAACCTCTCCTAACAATGGGAGAAAGGCTGTCCTTCATGCTCAGCTGTGGCTGATGTCAGTGTGCCCCTGCCTGTGCCCAGACCTGCCGCCAGAGACCGCCCCTGCCAGGAACACCAGTCTCTTAGCACTGGCCAGAAGCAGCACCTTCTCGCCTCTGAGCTCATGAGAGGGCCCATGCGGCGCAGGCACAGTTTTTCGCCTTCGCTTTCCGCTATTATTCTGAGACAGCTACTGCAGATACTTATTAGTTTGCTTCACATCAATCAACTGGGCAATCAGATTTGAACCCTCGTGGGGCTCTTTTCTGTTTAAATATCGGTGTTTCCACATACACCCCTGTGTCTTTTGCATCTTGACACTAACCCAGCATCTGCTGTGGTAGATCTCCCGCACTCACGCCAGGGCAGTACGTTCTCGTCAAGACGTTCCCGACCTCTACCGGAGGGAGGAGCAGGCCCGCGGGCCCGGAGAGCTGCAGTCGAGCACGTCTTACAAGCCTCCCCTAGGACCATGGTTTGTAAAGACTGAAGCGGAAAGTCCCACGTGCTCCAATTCAGGAAGCCCAGCGCTTCAGTTAAGGCAGGCATGGACTGCGATGGTCACCGAGAGCCACATGCTGTCGATGTGTTAACTTGAAGTGATCTCCAGACTACCTCACTGCAGCTCATACAAAGGCACAAAAGAGAGGAGCCAGTCAGCCCATTGAGTCCAAGTGGCTCATTGATGCAAGAACCTCATACAGGAAAGTAACCAGGGTATCAGCTGCAACAACATGGCTGGGAGACTTGTTCCACCCAGCCGCTGTCCTTTAGGGAAAGAAGTGCTTCCTGTTTTAAATGCTCTATCACACACAGTTTCCAGAAAAAAACTGGAGTCAAAACCACCAATGCAGCCTTAGCAGAGAGCATTTCGCCCTCAGGCACACAGACAAGGACCTGATTTGCAAACTACATGTCACGCAAGAAAAGGTGAAGTTCCCACTTCATCATGGCACAATTAAAAGGCCACACTACTTCTGCTTAGCCTTAGATCATGGAGAAACAGGCAACACCAACGCATTTTATGGGGGTGAAGAGGAACTACAATCCCATTCAACTCCAAGACGAATCCCTGACAGGATACGCGTACTATCACAACTCAACCTGACCGAGCTGCCAATGTAACAGCATGGCTACCCCGCCCCAAAAACGCCAGGTCCCATTTCATCACCTCAGGCCCTCTGGAAGTGAACTGCGTTCGGAGGAGTCGGCGTGCAGGGTAACGGCCTCGTTTCGGATCCTTTCCCACGCCTGAGTTCCATAGAGAGAGGCCACAGGAAGGCAAGCCCAGCACTCCAGAGAGGCACCTCCAAGAATCTACACGGGGAGACAAAGACGAAACACAAAATTACCTCGTGAACAATCGCGCACCTGCCAGGGTGGGCCATAGCTCAGGCTTACAGACAAGACCATGTTACCGTGCTTAGTTATGGGTCTTCAGTTTCATTAGCATGATTAATAATATGAAGTATGAAGATCATAATATGCAGATCAGCTCAATGTGAATGTGATAAACTTAGAGACTAATTCAAGGGTCTCCAATTGTGCTTACTGGTAGACTACAATCCCAAGCACTTATTATAATGTATTGCAGTCGCAATTCAGTAAAAACAGTTTACAGTATAACTTTGCCAGTAACAGTATTGTGGCTGAGGAAGTACATTTATTTACCACCTGCTTATAGTGACATTAATGATGGAACACTGCTGATATTACAATGATGAAATACTCAAACCTGTACTGCGGGACAGCTATCTCCACTGCAATCAAGACACTTGCATTAATATGTGTGAATGTGAAGAACCAGGCTCTCCACCTACAAGTGAAACAACCCCAATTCTAGGACCAATGAAATCGGCTGCTTCACATCAGACTCTCAACGCTACGTTGTTCGGCCTCTTTAAAAACAAGAGTTCCTGCAGAGCAATGCAGACACAATGACAAGGGCAATTAATGCTGACAGGAGCACAATGATCCACTGCACGAATCGGAGACAATATCGCAAAGTCAGGCTGCGCGATCTCCTCTCTAGAATGCAGTGAGTGACGTCTTCATTACGCGGATGCTTGCTCGTCTTTAAAAGCCAGTAATTAAACCCTTAGGATGATCACATGGCTTTATATTCACAGACACTTCAAGACAGGGTGCAATGTTACCAATACTAATAACTGTCAATTTCTCTCTTTAATTAAGCATTAAATCATTGCTAAATACTGTTGCTTAATTAGTTGTGAAGAGTTTTTTTGTAAATACAGTGCCTTAAGTAATTTTTCTACAGTTCTTAATATGAAAATGAAGTGACACCTTTTAAATAGCCACATATAAAACCTAATTTGCAAGGAGTCTCCCTAACAAATCAGTAACATCGACCTGTTAGCACTGAACTGTTCACTCGGTCAGATCAATGGCAGGGCTAATGATCCGCTCATCAGTATTAAAATTGTGCGCCGGTCAATAAGAACATTAAAATTGCAATGCTTAATTTTAGAATTAATTTCTTTCACTTTAAGATCAATTTTAAAACCCTGTCCTATGTCAAAGTGTCCCAGTGAACGTAGTCTCTAGCTCACCCTATAAATATCTGTGTGGGTTAGTGTGCACCCGAGAAAACATTTTACAACAATCACTAGCATAGCAGCATTTACATGTAAACCAACATATTGGGAATACACATTTATTGGTTAAAACCATTCTACAATATTCAGCAAACGCACACACAAGCTCAATTTAACTTTTAAAAAGGAAATCATTGAAGTACAGAAACATGCTTCAATTGTCCCCTGGGGGTGAGAAGGAGAAACTGCTGGTGCTCTAAAACAAGCAGATTCATTCCTCTCCCCTGTGTGATTCCTGTACTGCAGTGTCACTCATAGTGCTGAAGCACGTCTGAGAGAAACACCTCCTTGACAATTACATTACAATAACAAACCTGTCCATTCAGCACAGGAGCCGATTTCCTAACGGTTTATTTAATAACACTTAATATGCACCGTTACTAAGCTCACAACAAACACAGTTGTGTTCCGAGTAATTTACAGTTACCGCTGTAATTTCATGAGGCAAAAATAGGAAATGGAAACATTACACTACTAAAGACTTCTAAGAGCCTGAACATGGTGAAACAGAACTTCGCAACCTGTTCCTTCAAAAGATTCAAGAAGTACTTCAGCTTTTAAAATGTCAGCTTTCCTACACCACACTGTGCCGTAGCTGCAACTTCTTCTTTATTCCCTCAGGGATGAACCTTTTCACAACCAGCCCTGCGATCTCCTACAGAGCGATAGGCCAACTCCACGAGGCGCAAAGCACAGAGCCCTTTCAGTCTTCATCAGAGAAGAGCACTCCCCGTTTTCAAAATTAACTCAGTACACTTCTGCCGTACCAAGAGTGCAACACAAGCTACAGGACACCAGTGGAAATTCCATGGAAGTACATTTACAACCGTGAACAAGAGCAACACCTTTTCACAAAGCATTGTGGGAGTCTGGAACAAGCGACTTCACCAACTTGAATCCAATATCCTGACTGGACGCCATTCTTGGGTCAATCAGCTACTAGCAACCTAACAGCTCACATGGCTATCGTTTGTGACCTGTCAGAACTCAAACTCACCTGTTCGACATCTCTTTTACACTGCCGTCCACCAAAAAAAAATCATAAATCTGCCTTTTCAGTTTTTATCTTACATTTTAACTTAAATGACAAAAATGCTGAGAAGCTTCCTATTGACAAAGCTGTTACCTAGAAGTATTTTGATACTCTAAAGTAGAAAATAAAATATTTTCCTTCTGCTTGTGTCCAATGTAATGGAATCTGCCACAGTCCTGTGAAGGTGAATGGAGGTGGCAACAATACCAGGGGAGCCCGTACAGCACTTTCCGTTTACAAAGTGATTTAAATTGCAGGACACAAAAGGCTTCTTTAATTAATAGCACACTACAGCGATAACCATTCGTCATGCCAGGAAAACCAGGCGGCATTGAAGAACAAGGAACTGAGAAGTGAATGGCACATTACGACAAAGCCACGCGCTTCAAAAGCGCAGCACTGCGAGACGCTACCACAAAGTGCGACAACGGAATTTATTATTGATTATCTGAAGCTAAACTTTGCGGCAATTATTCCACGTCAAAGCTCCTGAGGAAAATTCAGCCATCTCTGCTGCCAATGAATTCAGAAACTCTGAGGCATGAGTAAAACAAACCCGCCTGTTACATACGTCTTTGTATAACACACGCCCCTACCCAGGATGTCTTGCAGAGCGTGAAGATGTACTGTACCGTACGTAAGGCGATGGCCTGAAAAGTACTATCCCCTGAGCACTGGAAGGGGCTTCATTTCAAGAGAATTAATCAGTGCTCCAGTGTGGTTAAACATTGTTTGTGGTGACTGTACTTTGCTCGGCTTGCATGATTTTGTGCCTTATGGGGAAAACGGTCACTTGTTTCCTGCTTGACAACGTCATCCACCCCTGCGCTCCTATCCTCAAGCAGCGCCTGTTTAAAAAACACATCACCATCAGCTTGGTGCCCCACCCGCTGAGCCCCACTCACAGAAAAATAGTTCTGCGTGCCACGCACCGCCTGTGAATTTCATTAGGGCTTTTCAGACGGGGCATCCATCTGGATTTTTACCTTGTGTAAAATTCCTGCATCCTTCGCTTTCAGAAGATGTTTCCTGGCGGCGACAGTGTGACATTTGCATGTGAATCCCTGCGGCAGAAGAGGGATCAATGCTCAGGCAGCTCAGTTTCATTCCGGACAGCCATTCCTGCTCTGGAAGAACCTGAGCCCTGCTGGATTTCCAGATTCCTCTAGATCGGTCAGACACACCGACCCCCAGCTAATGGGCTTAATGGGTCAAGAGTAAGTAACCGTATGGAGGCCTTATATTCAGTCAGAACCAAAACAGCCTACAGCCTTGCAGGCCTGGGGCTGGTGAGCCTCACAATAGGCCTGGCCTGCAGAAAACACCTTCATTTACGAGATGACAGAGATTGTTCCTGTTCATTCATTAGCTCCTTCAAAAACAAACCTACAGCCTTAATCTGTTACCAGGCCTGGTGTAGCACAGCACACAGCCATGATGTGAAATGTTCACGCAATTTTAAATATGTAATCAATTACAATGAATTATGAAATCCAACAAACAGAACGGATTTCATGGCGAGTTCACACTGAATGTGGCGTACATTGGCCTGGAAAGAAAAAGAGGCAGATAGACATCCAAGTCCAACACACACACAGAATGTAACAGTCCATATCAGCCTGTCCTTTCACTCTGATTTAATGCACTCAAAAGCAATTGATAAAATAAAATCAAAGATCACTTTTAATCAGATCCTTAAATCTAAGAACTACATAGATCAGTCGACAGTGTCACCAGAAATGAATCAAGTCAGTTCACAAGTGAGCTACAATTAAAGAACATTCTGCCGGAGACCTTGTTCCGTGTAAAAATCACAAACTGTAAGGAAACTGCCAACTGAAATTACACAAAAATGTCAAACTATGGACAGCCTGCCCAGTTACAGCACAGCCACTCTCTGCTGTACAAAGCAGACAGCAGAACAAGATTACTTAAGTTAGAAACCAGAAGGGCAATAGGGCAATCCTGCCTATTTAATTGATCCCAGGATCTCATCCAGCTGTTTCCTGAAAGAAGCCAAGGTATCGGCTTCAAAAGCATTGTTGGGTGGCTTGCTCCAGACTCCCACAACCCTTTACGTAAAGTTGCAATCTCTGTTTTTAATACATTTCCACGTAGTTTCCGCTGGTGTCCTCAAGTCTGTGTTCCACTGATAATTTGAAAGAAGCCCACTGGCTTGACTTTGTCGACACACTTGTATCAGGTCCCCAGGTAGACTGAAGCTCTTTCCATCAGGTCTTCAAGCCTGCCCACATGGGATATTCCCTGATGCCCTGGAATGTAGCTGCTCTTCTCTGGATGGACTCCAGAGCAGCGATAGCTTTTTTTTTTGTAACGCAGTGACCAACACAGTACTCAATAACCTGAGCCCGACCCCGTACCCCTGCGTGTGCGACAGCAGAGACGAGGACAGGAGGCCACACGGCCCCACATGCAGCGCACCGGCCGAGCGGAGTCACAGCAGGCCACGCGCGGCGAGACAGGCCAGACAATGAAGGGATATTTCAAAGTTCCTCTGGCTTCCACAGCAAAACGCAGATCTGAAAGACTCATTACCAGTAATAACAAAAACCATTTCCCTGCTGGGTCCCTTATTGGTCCCCACTGTCTCACTCTGGGTTCATAACCCAATGCCTCGCTCGACCGACAGAAACCTCTATATCTGCAGA